TCCTCTTCTCACCTCATCTCCAAAGCCCTGAGACCATGTGTCCTGGTGTCCTCAGAACAGATGGCTTTGATAGAACTCATCTCTGCCCTGGCACACCAGGTGAAGGGGCAGATCTGATAGCCTGGCCCAAGGGGCAGTGTTGGGCTTGCAGTGTTCATGGACACCAGCTGGTGTGAGAGGGGGCTTTCCCCAGACTAAGAACCTGGTCACTATAGCAATGCATAGTCCTATGTCCTTGGCAGCCCCTCATCCAGGGAGAGACACCACAGCAGGTTCTGCTGGGCGGAGGGAAAGTCCTGGAGCCAAGAGGATGTCCAGGCAGCAGATGGCAATTTTGGAGGGGCTGTACTCCTGTCTTCTCTCCACAGCCTGGGCTGTCACAGCCAGAGGCCCTCCGCCCCTACAGCCAGCCTGGGAACGCCTCAGCCTCCACCCCACACCATTTATTTTCCAGTGAAGAATGCAAATGCCACTTTTCATTCATTCTCTTTGCCTCCTGCTCCTACTCCTTTCCCCGCTTTCTTGGCAACTCATACCCTCCGCCCTCCTTCCTGCTCTCTCTCCTTACCCCCGAGCCCCCTGCTCTGCAATCAGTCTTCCCCCACCCACTCACAGCCAGCCTCACTGCCACACGTGCACCTGCTCCCACACATCTCCTGGAAGGAGGCACCTTGGACACAGGCATCACACCCAAGACCCTCTCCCAGCTTCTCTCACTCTCACAGGCTTGCCAATCACTCACTCTAATTCCTGTGGATTTCAGGGAGGGTCTAGAGATATGTGTGTGACCTGTTTGGGAAACAGTCTCACCATCATACTGTTCTTCCAGGCAGCTCAGCTCCTAGAAAGCCTGGGAAACGGGGTGGGGGAGACATTCAAATCCTAATCTCTCTTTAGGAGAAGCACAGGACTTGTTGGTGGAATAGAAGTGGCAGGTGGTGTGGACAGAAGTCTGGCCTGCTGACCCTGTTGCTGCCCTTTTCATCATGGTGGGGAGTGAGGTGGAGGTGGAAGGTTCAGGAATCCTCCTGTTTTTTGGACAATGGGGATGTATTCCCTGCTGGAGGCTCATAGTCATATAGTTCATCTCCGTTGGAACATGACCCTCTTTCTCAGTCAGTCACACATACCCCACCCCCACCCTGCATAGGATATAATCCAAGCCTTCCTACCTTTTTGTTCATGCTGTCCATTGCTGGTTATATCCACCTTAATATCCACCTCACATGGTCAGAGCCTTTCTAGTTTCCACCAGACCCAGGGAGAGGCCATCTCCTCCATGTTCTTTGTATACAGTATTATACAAACACTTAAGACATAGAATTATGAATGCATGGATGTTTCCCTTCACCAAACTATGAATTCCTCAGGGTGTGGAGTGGGCATTATCCATCTTAGCCAGTAAATTGGCACACAGTCAACATCCACTTGTAACATTGAATGGAAGCAGGTGCTTTGCACGCAGGTGGGAGGAGCGGGGGTGGGGCCTCATTGGGCAGTCTTCATGCTGCAGAAGGTAGTGTGGGCCAGGAGGATGATGAATCCCACCCCTGGGACAATCCTTCCCTCTGAAGTGAGAACCAGGCCCCCCGACTCACCCTGCTGTGAATGTCTGCAGGCCTGTAGGCCATTCAGATGATTCCAACCTTTGCCCTCTGCCCTTGATACAGCAGTTCCACTGGTCCATGTGTGCACTGTATCTCCCCAACTAATCCATAGGCTTTTACTTGGTCAGAAATGGTGACTGATTTGTGACTTTTTTGTCTGCTGATTTGTCGGTGTGTTCTATGGTAACATTTGGCACATCTCCATCACTACATCATGCAACAATCAGTGCTCCCTTTTCCACTAGAAATAGAGTCAAAACCAAATCCACTGCTGTTGAGTCGTTTCTGACTCATAACAACCCTACAGGACAGACTAAAACTACCCCACAGTGTTTCCAAGGCTGTAAATCTTTCCAGAAGCAGACTGCTACATCTTTCTCCTGCAGAGTAGCTGGTGGGTTTGGACCACTGACCTTTTTTTGGTTAGCAGCGAAGGGCTTTAACCACTGAATCACCAGGGCTCCTAATAGCATCATTAGGGCCTTTTAATCTAGCCAGATTTGAGAACCATAGATGGCTCAGTACTGAGCATTTGGTCAATCCTCACAATTTGCTATCTGTGGGTTGAAAGAACCCAGGACTTTAGCTTCAAATGGGTTAACATTAAGATTAAATTTTCATGAGGATTGTGAGTTTTAGGGGGAAATTCACTAAGAAAACACTTTGGAATAATTTCCTAGGAGTTTCTTAAGCATAGGATCTTCTTGGAGCAAGTAAGAGGTGTGTGTTTGGGGTGGCGGTGGCAAATGATTTAAGTGTTATTCTTGATCTGTTTACATTGTCAAGTTCAAACAAGGTGTGCTTCATGTTACTTTATTTCCTCTGCTGTGAAGCGTGTTGAAATGCAAAACTTGTTTCACAAAATTAACATGGCCTTGAAGAGGGAATAGATATACATACAAATACACATACACACCTACTTACACATACATATATGTAGATGGTAACAGCACTGAAGGAAGGGAGGGGGACGTCCTTAAACTCAGGGAAACCCAAGGGAAAATGGGGCGGTGGCTGTAAAGCAAACTTAACTCTAATTGCCCTGGCCTACAGCTGCAGGAAGCAAGGGAGGAATCAGACACATTCTAAATGGGGCAATGGGATGAGGGTGATTCGTGTTGCTGCTAACAAAACACTTCTGGTTTTCAGGAGCAGGGGAATAGTCCTTCTCCCCTGGGAGCCACAGGCACTGTGCTCCCCTGAGGCCTTATCAAAGGGGCTGAGGTTGTGAGGTGTGAATAAGGTGCAGATGGGGGCTTGTCCAGGCCATAGCACCAGGTTGCTTCCAGCCACAAAAGTATATTGACTTTAAGCAGGAGCCTTGGAGAAACCAGCTGCAGCTAGGAAGAATGAGGCAGTTGTACGGGAGCATGGGGGAAGGAGGCTCTGATGAGATGGGCCCTGTTTGTTGTAAATTAGTAAATGAGAAAGGTAAGAAGTATAACAGGAACTTCTTGAAGTTAGGGACCTAGCTTAATCCAATTTCTTAAAAACTTCTGGAATTCTCATCCTGACTTAAGGATAAGTGCCATGTCTTACTCATTTCTAGAGCTTCTTCCCCACTCCCCTCATTACACACACAGGGGCCATGGAACGGCAGCAGTGGGAGAAGGGGAGGTGAGGCAGCTTGGAGACCTGCCAAGCCACTCACCTGGGCTGGGGGTAGGGGAACCACTGGGGCAAGGTTAGTCCATACAGGGAATAAATTACTGCGGGGGAAGGGGTATTGTTTAGGACTCATAACGCATTAAAGCACATCTGCAGGCACTCTGGTAGCGTAGGGCCTAAGGCACTTGACTGCTAACCAGAAGGCTGGCGATTCAAACCCACCAGCCACTCCTCGAAAGGAAGATGGGGCAATCTGCTTCCGTAGTGATACTGCCTCGGAAACCCAAGGAGGGGTCGCTATGAGTCGGGTCTGACTCAAGGGCACATAACAACAACAACAGCAGAGCAGAGCTGCAGACTTGAACATGAGCACTGGAGGGGCCTTGAAGGAGCATCTTATCTACCCCTTTGGTTTACAGAGGTGGGAGCTGAGAGCAAGGCAAGGCTATACGGTAAAATGGGAACAAACTATCCTCAACTGGAGTCCCAGAGATTCTCCTTTGTACTCACTTGTGTTAAGAATCAGTCCCCAGCTCAGGGCCTCAGGACCTTGTCCCTTTGACACTAGAGAAGAGAGAAACCACGCACATGGCCGTGGCTCTTCCAAGTCGGAACATGATGCTAGTTCCTTGACTTTGGAAATCTACCCAGAGGGTGAGGAGGAAGACTGAACCAGTTGTGACCTCCACTAGCCACCAGGTGTCACTGATGAGTCTGTCTTAGAGGTAGAGGCCAATTTGCAAATGATAGAAAAGGCTTCTGGGAGATTTCCAGGTTCTCCCCCCTTCTTCCCCATTTCTCTGGAACCACCTCCCTTGGGTGGAAATGGTTGAGCTATCCACACTAACAAAGAACAGATGGCAGGGGCTGGGCTGTGTACCCTTGTGAACACTGTGTTCCCCAGGGGCAGACCTTATTGTGGATGGACAAGGAGGGCTGCAAGACCAATCTACATCCATGTGGTCTATCTTGGGGCTCTGACTCCCACCTCCTCTCCCACCCTGCTGATTCCTACTTCCTTGAGACATTCTTCTCCTTGGCCGTCCCTCTCTCAGAATACATAGGCCCAGCCTAGAGGGTGTGTGCTTGTGTTCACCCTGGAGCAGGAGGAGGGGTACTCAGCACATTGCTGAGATGTCAAGAGATGGCTGGATTCCAGCCTTGTGGGAACCCTGGCCCTTCACCTAGTCATTCCCTCACACCTCCTTTCTGGAGAACTCAGGCCAGCAGAGAGCCAGGGTTGGTGTCTGTTGCTAGGGAACAAGATGGTGGAATAGCATTTTTGGAAGAAAGGATCCTTGGTGGAGGTGACCTGGGTTTCTCAGCCTTTTTGGGCCAAAACTGCCATGATGGAGGAGTCTCTGGCAGCCTTTCTGAGCCTGACCTCCAGGCTTCCCCTGACCATCTTCTGCTTGTTTTGGGAAGGACCAAGATCCAGATGCCAGTCCATGGCCCACATCTACCCTGGATTGATGGTTGGAGGAGGAGGAGAGAAAAGGGGACCTGAAGTCTTTAGACACACATTTAGGCTTCTGGGGCAAAGAGAGACCATATAAGGCCAGAAGTTTTGAATTGGGTAGAACCAAATCAAGCCCTTGGAAGTCTCATTCCAAAGACTGTGGGGAACAACAGAGTGTATGGCTTTTGCCTGCCTCAGAAAGGTGGGTAAGAAAGGCAAAGCTAGGAGCAAGAAAGGGAGCTGAAGAGAGCTGGTGGTGGGCACAGGTGTCTGAGCCACCAACATTCAAGTCTGATCCAAAGGAGATGCAGGGGCAGAGTAAGGGCCTAGATGATCACAGACTGCAGGAGGCGGAAACACATCATAAGGTCCAGTGGGATGGGTGGCTTCAGGTAGTTCCCATCCAACCGCAGGTAGCGCAGGTGTGGCACATTCTCCAGGTCTGAGGAGAAGTCGTGGAAGGCCACTATGTTGTTGGGGCAAATCTGAGTCCCGTTGATTTCTGTGGAGAAGAAGGGGAGAGGTCAACAAGAGAGTGGGCTAGTCAGGACAGAATGGGGCTGGAGGCAAAGGATGAGGCAGGAAAAGGGGATGGGCAACTGAGAGTAAGGAGAGCAGAGCTTCTCCTGTCTGGACCTGGGGACTGATTCTTAACACAAGTGAGTACAAAGGAGAATCTCTGGGACTCCAGTTGAGGATAGTTTGTTCCCATTTTACCGTATAGCCTTGCCTTGCTCTCAGCTCCCACCTCTGTAAACCAAAGGGGTAGATAAGATGCTCCTTCAAGGCCCCTCCAAGTGACCATGGACTGGTAACTTACCTAACAGCTCAGGTTACTCATTTGTAAAATGAATAAAGTTGGAATTGATCAACAATGCTTTTTATTGGAAAGTCAATGAGGAGAATCATGAAGGAAGTAAACTTTGAGCTGGGCCTTTAAGGATAGGTGGGATTACAACAGGTGGAGTGGTGTCATGATAGAGGGGCCTGTTTCATGAAGTTGTGGAGATAAAAAGAAAAGAAGCTCATGGCAGAATCTGGAGTACAATGTGATGCAATAGGGAGAGGAAGCTGGAAAGGAAGTTGTGGCCAAAGCTTGGTATGCTTTCCAATATTTCACTTTGATCTCTAGACTGTGGAATGGTGTCAAGCAGGAGAAGATAAGATCAGGTTGATACCATAGCAAGATCAATCTAGCTACAGTGTGGAGAAAAAAAAATGGATGGGGTGAGATTTGAAGCTAGGAGGTGGATACGACAGTCAGTCTGGAGATTTCTCTGTGACTTGGATTTTAATTAAAATAGGAATGACAGGAAGAGGAAAGGATATTGGGGTGGTCATACAGAGGCCCAGGGACACAACATGCCTATTGATTGTGTGTCTATGGACCTGCAGTTCTTTTTTCTTCTTTACCTCTTAGATGATACAAGCTAGGGCCAGATACTGCTCTTAGTAAAACTTTTACTCCCTAAATCTTGCCTTATTTATCATCAAAACACTGCCAGGTCATGTGTCACCCCATGATCAATTGTAGATCTGACTGTTATGATCCAAAGGGTGTTCATTCGCTGATTTTTGGAAGCAGAACTCTAGGGTCTTTGTCTGGAAGCCCTGATGAAACCTATTCAGCATCATAGCAACAGGAAATCCACCATTGAGGTGGATGCATGTAAAGTTCATTGGTCAGGAATCGAATGAGAGTCTCCTACAAGAAGGCAAGAATTCTGCCACTGCACCACCCATGCCTTGTCTTCATCATTGGAGTAGCAGAAAGAGCCCTGACATCAAAAACAGAAGTCTTGTACCCTAGTTCTAGATTTTCCTCTTATGGGCTTCAAGAGTTTGGGCTGTTGCCTTACCACCCTGATATTCTATTCCCAAGTATGTGAGCTGGTGGGATGATACCTGCACTCACATCAGATGAGAGAATGTTGGTGAAGGCATTTTGCAAACTGTAAAGGACAGCAGATTGTGGCATTATGATCATTGCTAGGAAGATACTCATCACACTGATTTACGCTCCATTCAGCCCATCCCACTGTCCATGACATAGGAGACAATCTGAGTGTGGGTAGGCATGTGGGGGTAAGGGAGGTGTTCTTCTGACTTCCACCTGAGAAGGCTGGAGATGTCCCCAGTCTCCAGAGCAGCCTGGTCAGCTACAGTCTGCTAGAGACCTCTCAGCCACGTGCAAATCAAGACATCTTTTCTGTCTATAGTTCCAGCCCACACAGCTTCCAGGAGCAATGTGTTCTATCAGTTTACTACCTGCAGGGTAAAATTAGGCAGTTTCTCTCTTTTCCTGAATGTCTTTCTCTTGTTGTTTTGTTGTTGTTATGTGCCGTCGAGTTGGACCCGACTCATAGCGACCCCTCCTTGGGTTTCCGAGGCAGTATCACTACGGAAGTAGGTTGCCCAACCTTCCTTCCGAGGAGTGGCTGGTGGGTTTGAACCGCCAGCCTGCTGGTTAGCACTCAAGTGCCTTACTATGTATGCTACCAGAGCTCCTTTCTCTTAGGATTTAAAGAAAATTGAATTTAAAGAAATCCTCTCCCACTTATAATTATCTCAGATCCATCAAAAGGTTTGTTTTCCCATCCATTTGTTTTATAATTGCAGAACCTCCAACTATCTCTTTCTCTCTTTGGCTTGGAAACTAAGAATTCCTAATTTGTTTTAGGGGTTGTTCCCTCCTTCCTTTTAGCTGTTGAATTCCTTGCGTGGATGGAATCTGATTTTGTTCAAAGACCAGATAACATTCCCTTTCTTCAATTTCTAAACTCTTTTGCCGATGCTGTGCTCAGAGCTGACACTTTGGATTGTAGCAGATCCTCACTCCCAGCCTCCTCTCCTTCCTGGGCTGCAATTCATACCGCAAGCCCAGGGCCCTGCAAACATAGCTCAGGCAACCTCTCCCTTAAACACACTGGCTTATGGAACTAAATATCCCAGTGTTTCAGACAGATTCAGTAAGCACTGGCATACAGATTTTTTTTTTTTCTGACTGCCACATTTTTACCATTTCCATGCCCTGACTAGACAGCTGCCACTCTGGATATACCGTGTACAGATGCTTTAAAACCTAGAGCCAGTCTGGGAAGAAGTGTCCTCTCACAGTTGCCACCTTTGCAACAAGCAAGCCCAGGATGTTTCAAGTAGATATTTAAATGTCTCGCTCTGCTATTAGGAGAATGTCCAGGTGTATATTCCATATGTACTCAACTAATAGATCTGAAAAGAAAGTCTGGTAGCATAGTGCCTAAAGTACTTGATTGCTAACCAGAAGGCTGGCGGTTCAAACCCACCAGCCACTCCTTGGAAGGAAGGTTGGGCAATCTACTTCCATAGTGATACTGCTTTGGAAACCCAAGGAGTCACCGCTGAGTCGGTTCCGACTCGACAGCACATAACAACAACAACAACAATAGATCTGAATGGCAAAGAAGGGAATATTCTTCTATTACTGGTTACCTGCCAAGCATAGGAGTCCTGATATGGAGTAAGTGGTGAAGTATTGGGCTTAACTGAAAGGTTGGAGGATTAAGTCCACCCAGAGGTGCCTTGGAAGAAAAACCTGGCAATCTACTTCTGAAAAACCAGCCATTGAAAATTCGATGGAACAGCTCTACTCTGACACACATGGGGTTGCCATCAGCTGAAATTTACTTGATGACAACTGATACTGATATGGTATTTAAGGCACTTTCCATGTTAAACTGTTAAGTCCTCACATCAACTTTGTAACAGAAGGCATTATTACCATTCTTATTATATATGTCAGGAAACTTCTGAGAGAGGTCAAAGATCTTTTCAAGGTCACACAGATAGTAAGTGGTATGCCCAAGACTTGAACAACAGTCTATCACCAAGGAGGATGCTTTCTGCATCATCCCACCCTGAAGCTCCTGAGATGTTGTTGTTGTTGTTACGTGCTGTGGAGTTGGACCTGACTCATAGTGACCCCTCCTTGGTTTTCCAAGGTGACATCACTATGGAAGTAGATCACCCAACCTTCCGTCCATCCCAGGAGTGGGTGGTGGGTTTGAACCCCCAGCTTTCTGGTTAGCAATCAGATGCCTCAGGCACTACGCTACCAGACCTCCTAAAGCTCCTGAGATAGGTGAGGCAATAAGGCTCCATCCTTCCTCCCTGTGGCCCCACCCCAGCCCAACCCCACTTACTCTCAATGGAATTGTTGTTCAGGTAAAGGTGCTCTAGCTTGTTGCTGATGGCAGGCACATTGCTGATCTTGTTGTGTGACAAGTGGAGCACCAGCAGGTTGGAAATGTTAAAAGAGTTCTTGGGGAGTCCTCGGTCTGATAGCTTGTTGTAGTTAAGCCGGATGAAAGCAAGGTTGGGGAAGCCCTTGAAGTAGCCATTAGGGATGGTCTCGATCCTGTTGCTGTCCAGAAAGAGCTGGTGAATGGCCGTGGGCACCTTGGGTGGCATCTTTCTTAGGATGTTGTGGGCCAGGTTGAGCTGCATGAGGTTCTTGAGGCCCTTGAAGGTGTCCGGCTTCAAGACACTATCAGTCAAATTGTTATGTTGAAGATCCAACAGCAGCAGATTCTCCAGCTTGCTGAAGACCCCAGGTGGGATTTTGAATATTTGGTTTTGGCTTAGCCTCAGCTGCTCCAGATTCTTAGGCAGGGACGAGGGGACCTCTTCCAGCTGGTTCTTCTCCATGTAAAGGAAAACCAGGCTGGGCAGACTCTCCAACACCTTCTGGTCCACCTTGCGAATCCGGTTGTTGTCCAGGTTGATCCACCTCAGGCCTGTGGCATTCTTGAAGGACTCCAGTGGGAGCTCAGAGATGAAATTGTTCTGGAGATAGAGGTAATGGATGCGGGATGGGATGACGGGGACCTTGCGCAGGTTGCGGCTATCACAGTAGAGCGCAGATGGGAAATCATAGGGGCAGTAGCATTCTCGGGGACAGTCATGGAAGATAGATGGAGGACCTGGTGGGAGGGGAGGAGGCAGGTCTGTAGGCTCTGAGGGCTCATGGGGCTGAGGAAAGGTGGGTCTGGGCATGGGCCTGGGCCTGGGCCTGGGCCTGGGCCTGGGCCTGGGTTTTGGTCGCCTTGTTGGCTGGCCTTGAGTCACTGATGCCAAGATGAGAAGTGGCAGGAGCCAGCAAAGGAATGACCTCATGGTCCAGATGACTCACCTGCAGGAGGAGATATAGGAGACATTAGCCTGCTGGGTCTCAATAATTGGATGCTTTGTCTTGGCAGCTAGGGTTGGCCAGACTGACTCTAGGACAGAGCTTAGGGACATGTAGAAGCATGTCCTATTTACTTGTACACAGGGGGTAAGGGAGTAACAAGGGCTAAGGCTCTGGATCCTCAGAGATCCTAAGGCCAGCCCTCAGTGTATTAAGCCTGCTCTGGAGAGGTTGAACCATGCTGGTAGGAGGGACACTGAGCTTTGAGTCAGGAGCCTGGGGCTTGTTGGAGAAGACCATTAACCTTTCTGACTCTGTTTTCCTGTTTATAGCATGAGAAAATCATCCCTATCTTTATAAGAGGAATGCTAGGCTATCTGAATCATAAGGCCCCGGGGTGCTGAATCTGGAAGAGTCCTTAGAAATCCCTAATGCAGTTTTCAAACTGTGTCCCCATAGAGGCCCCAGTGTCTGTGGAGTTCCCCTCCCTCAGGGAGGAGACTGAGTACATGGCCTGGGGCACCCCTAACCCACTCCTGAGTCAATTTGAGCAGCTCTGTTTTTAATCTGTTTTATATTTTGAGGTTTAGCCAAAGAATTCATTTAGGGGGAAAAAAAAAAAGTTTTATTGCTAAAAATGGTTTGAAATCCACCAATCACGTCCACATCCCACTGTTTACAAATCTGAGGACTGGAGGGAGGCCAGGAAGCTATTTAACAACAGACCCAGGGCAAAAAATTCCAGGTCTCTTGCACTCCAGAGCTCCAGGAGAGTTGAGGAAGGAAGGAAAGTGCCGCAGGCACTCACAAGTCCACCCCTGTGCATTGATGCTTTGGGCTGCCCTGCTCTGCACCCCCCTGCACTTGACTCACAGAACACCAGTCTTTGCCAGCAGGAGACACACCAAGAATTTCTCCCCAGATGTGGAGTCTCCAGGGAAAATAAACAGGGGAAGGATAGAAAGATATGGGGAAAGTGCTTTCATTTCTTTAGAATTGGTGTTGCTGATCCCCGTATGCACTACAGCTGGTGGTATTGAGGTGGGATGTCAGGAAAAGCTCCTGCTAGCCTCAGTGGCTTATTGGAATGGGGAGCTGAAGGGTGTTTTAGGATTTCTTTTCCCATTGGTTGCCTGCAGAAAGCATTGTGCTGTGATAGGTAGAGACAGACGGAAGGGTAATTGCCAATCTGAGAGGTCTAGGAGGATCTGGTGTTCCATCCAAGTTGTTATTGTTAAGTGCCGTCGAGTCGGATCAGACTCATAGCAACCCCTCCTTGGGTTTCCGAGGCAGTATCACTATGGAAGTAGATTGCCCCAGTCCATCCAAGTAGGAAGGCTCAAATGGAATCTAAATATTCTAGGGCTGGATTTTAATTCAAGTTCTCCTATATACTCTCTCTCACACATATCCATGTACCTCTCCTCTCCCCACACCACCCACATATGCAAACTCAGTCACATGTTATCTGTGTGCATGTGTATGAATCCTTATGGAGTACATGGAGTACAGGAAAGAGGGAAAGGCAGGGCAGGAAGGAAGAAAGAAGGCAGGAAGGTAGGGGGAAGAGACTACCTGCAGCTCCTCTTATTTTCCACCTCACACTAAGCTGGTCCTGCTCTCAGGAGGCCTCTCCAAGGGAGTCCAGGAGGACCCTATCACAAAGGGCCTTGCCTTATCTCCACTGAAGAGAGGCCAGTCTCAGGGATCCACTGAAAGGACTGAAAAGAGAAGGCATTCATTGTATAACTTTAGGCTTGAGGTTGGTTACCCAACCCCACACTACTTGTAACTGGTAAGCTATGAATCAACATAAGTCTTATAATTTTCTTGAAAATAACGCAGTTGTGTTGCATATAAATTAAGGGGTGTTGAGGAATTAACATGGTAAAAAACAAATATTTTTTAAAGCCCCAGTTTTGGTGATTGTATTATTTTTTTGGTCTTTATTTTATAATCATCTAGAAGCCTCAAAATAAACAATAAGCTTCTCATGCTGTGAGAAGCCCAGCCCCAAGGTGGCTTCCCAGTGCTGGCTGGAGTTTCCCTGCTTCCCTTCATGGCCTTGTTACCAAAAGCAGGAATCAGGTACTGGGCATCACATTAAGTAAATCAAGCTTGCCCAGAGCGTCGAGCAAAAGATTGGTCTGTGAGGCACAAAGACTTGGACAACTGGCCTCTGCTGGGGGAGGGCTTTTCTGTGGCCTGGCCACCCCTGGTCTCCATTGGCAGGAGGGACCAGAGCCAGCAGGTCAGTCACAGCACCACCCAGAGGCCAGCCTTCTGCTGTTCCTCAGTCACACTGAATATACAGCCTTTCCTCATCTCTGTCTCCAGTGCCAGCGCCCGGACCCTTCCGGGAACTTGTTTTATCTTCCCACAGTCCTTCTGACCTTTTCACAATGAGGGGGCTGGCCAGGCCTTCCCGAGAGCCAACAAGAGGTTTCCTAGGAAAAACTCCCTGGGGACTGTTCTGTGGGCATACTGGGTCCATTCAGCTCCCCTTCTGTCAGCCCACGGCTGAGTTAGACCCTGTGTGTGTGTGTGTGTGTGTGTGTGTGTGTGTGTGTGTGGTGCGCGCATGCTTCCTTCGTAGGAAAATAGCATTCATCTCTAAGGTTTTTCTCATTAGGCAATGCCCCTTCCTGTGGAGCTTGGCTGTCTGGAGGGGAAGTTCAGACAGCTTATCCTTTTCTCTGAAATGTCCCAAGTCTCTGAAACCTGCAACCAGAATCTGTGAGACACACCAGAGGGCCCTGGACTCCCTGGGGAGTCATTATCCCTCTCACAAAGCCCCAAAGCCACACTCTCTACTAGCTCCTGCCTTCCAAAACCTACTGTCCAACCCTGTAGCTCCTTTGTTGTTGTTGTTAGGTGCCATTGAGTCAATTCTGATGCACAGCAAACCCGTAGCACAGAGTAGAACTGCCCCCGTAGAGTTTTCAAGGCTGTATCTTTACAGCAACAGATCTCCAGGTCTTTTCTCCCTCACGTTAACTGGTGGGTTCAAACTACTGACCTTTCAGTTAGCAGCAGAGGGCTTAACTATTGTGTCACTAGGCTCTCATATACATTTTTTTTCCCCTTCCATATGCCTTTGCAAGCATTGGCTACTTCTTTTCAACTTTCTCTTCACCACTCAGTGGAACTTGCTGACCACCTGCAACAACCAGCTTCACACAGCTCCACCCTGGTTCTCAAAAAGCACATACTTTATGGTGAGGAAAAGTAGTCGCCTTGCCCAACCCCAAATTCATTCTCTCCATTTAAGAACATTTCTTAAGAAAGTTTAAACTCAAATTTCAGTTTCAGTTATTGGAAATCTAGGCTTGAATCCAAGGAGCTCTGGTGATATAGTGGTTAACGCGTTCCATTGCTAACCGACAGGTCAGAGGTTTGAACTCATCAGCTCTGATGATGAAAGATGAGGCAGTTTGCTTCTGTTAAGATTTATAGCCTTGGAAACCCTATGTGGCAATTCCATTCTGTTCTACAGGGTCTCTATGAGTCAAAACCACTCGATGGCAGTGGGTTTGTCTTTGTTGGTTTAGGCTTGAATCTCGGCTCTGCCTTTCCTCCAGGGCCCCAGGCTTCTTACTGTGTGAAGATCAGATGAGATCCCGTTTATGAAGACATGTTGTAGTGTACAATCTGTACATGGCAGAGGTTGTATTTATTCATTTATTTGTTTATAAAAGAGCAAATTCTCTAGAGTGACTCTGATTTTTAAAGTGATATAACCCTTTTTCCTGACTATCTCATTAATTCACTTAAGGTTAAAACAGTCAGGACTGGGTACAAAGTAAAGACTCAGGGCAGAACTGGGTTGAGATTCAGCTGAGTTTGTCAAGCTGTTAGGAGCAAGTTTAAGGATAATTGGCTTTGCATGGAGAGTTTGGAACTGGGGATGGGCTGGGAATGAATTGGATTTTTCTTCCAGGGTTAAGGCGCGGTTAGCACCAGAGTTATCCCACTCTACTTCCAGGCATTCTTCTCTCTCATCAGATTTCCTGTCCAGCTGGTTAGGCTTAATCCAGCCAGGTACCCTGCCGTGGAGAATGGGGCTGTCCCTGCCCCAAAGCCATGCTCATGGACATAGCAATGACTCTTTCTCTTCATTCCCTTCTTTTTGTTCTAAACCCAGACTGCTAAAAGCTACCCTGCTTCCTTACTCTCTTCTCAATGCCCAGAAAGAAGTTGTAAGCAGGGAAAATCAGGTGGTCTCTGCCTAATTGTTGTGAGGAGTGAGCCAGCCACCCAGGCTGCCTGAGACCCTCCAAAGCCCCCAAGACCCAAAGGCCCTGGTGTGGGGACATGGTGAATCTAATGCATCATGATACAGCTGCCCCTTGGCTGGAGGTGACTGAGTATAAGGAGGAACCTGATGGGGAGGGTGGGGAGAGCACCGTGGTGCACACCAGTGAGGACACCAGGTTCTCAGCCCCTCTGCCACTACCCAGTGATGCACCAGTGCTCTGAGCCTCAGCTTCTTTATCTAGAAAAAACAAACAAACTCACTGCTGTCTATTCGATTCGATTCGATTTATAACAATCCCTCCTTGGGTTTCCAAAGCAAAGTGGTATCTCTACAGAAGTAGATTGCCCAATCTTCTTTCCAAAGAGTGCTGGTAGGTTTGAACTGCCAACCTTCTGGTTAGCAGTCAAATGCCTTAGGCACTATGTCACCAGATCTCCCTATCTATAGAATAGGATCACAAATTCTTCCCTCTGTTCCTCACCCAAAGAGCCCTGGTGGCACACTGGTTAGGCACTCAGCTGTTAACCCAAATGTTGGTGATTTGAACCCACCAGCCACTCTGAAAGCAGTCTGCTTTTCAAAGATTACAGCCTTGGAAACCCTCTGGGGCAGTTCTACTCTGTTGTACACTGTCGCTATGAATTGGAATCAACCCATGGCAACGGGTTTGACTTTGGTTTATTACTCACCCAATCATTGTCAGAAGCAAATATGATAAGCGACTTTAAA